CCGTGTAGAAACGTTTTTCCGAATACACGTGTTTTTACTTAACAAACGTTTAAACGTTTAAACGTTTACTAGGCTCTAATATACGTGTAAACGTTTATTATTATTATTATTATTATTATTATTTAAGTTTATTAAACGTTTACACGTATATTAAACGTTTATTAAACGTTTATTAAACGTTTAGTAAACGTTTAAACGTGTAAACGTTTTTCTGGAAGAAAATGTAAACGGATAAACGTTTCACGTTTAAACGTTTATTCAAAAAACGGAATAAAATCCGAGCCCTAATTTAAAGGCGCGATGCTCTGTCACTAGCCGGTCGATTCTACGTCGATTCACGTCTCAGCGAGGCTCTTCCGTGAGACTCTGAATCTTTGTTGTGTGTGTGTGTGTGTGTGTGTGTGTGTGTGTGTGTGTGTGTGTGTGTGTGTGTGTGAGAATCTGTTCCGAGAGCCGACATTCTCTCTACCGGGCCAATCGGCTGTGTCGGTTAGTTCCCGTTGTCGAGGGGAAATATTTCGTGATTTCGCCTAACGGAGAACAGCTCCGAAAAGTACGATCGCTCTCGTCACGAAAGAAACAATAATATTGACGAGCGGTGAACATACCGCTCGTTACCCAACGTTTCCTTGAAACGAGACGACATTCCAATCTTTCGTCTACATTATTATAACTTCTCAACCGCGGTTATACTCGCTATTTACACGCGAGGAAAATATCGCTTTGCCGCACGGAGTGAATTGTTTTTTTTTAAATTTACCCTGCAAATTATGTAATCTCGCGCGACAACGTGGCACCTGGGAAGAGAACTGTACGAGAGTGTATTTGAAATTTTACCAGACACTACACTAGTAAAATGTGTACCAAGTACAACTACCAGTAGAGGGTGCGGTAAAATTTCCAAAAACTCTCACAAAGTTCTTGAAAAAGCCACGTTGTCCCGCGACTACACGATTTTCAGGATAAATTCGAAGAGAAACTTCCCTCCGCGCGGTAAGCCGCGTATATCAGCCGGGGCTATCGAAACGGTTAGTTTTTTCCCGCAGCGGAATCGCCAAACATACGATAAAACGGAGCGCGCTTTATCCCGCGCTAAAAGGATTTCGATCAAGTCAACGGGTGATTCAACGAACAGTCGCCCTCCCGCCCTGCCGCCCTCGGGGCGCGTGCGACGCTCGGTCGTAATACAGGTCGTCGCAAACGGGACAGCGTCACGCGCGTTACCGTTGCATTTCCGGTGGTGGCGGGGGGCGCGGACACGTGGTCGCGGATTCTCGCCCTCGTCGGAGCGAGGCGACGCGGGCGAAGGTCGCCGCCGAGGAAAGGAGGAAGCCGGCCGCGCGGCGCGCGCGGTGGTTGAATAAGGTCGCGCAAGGGCGGGAGCGTGGCGCGCGGCTGCGCGCGCACGCCGGAGCCACGCTGCCGCCGGTGGGCTCTCGGAGTCGGGCCGCGTGGTCGCGTCAGTAACGCCGGAGCCTCCGTACGGGAGAGTCACGTCCGGCGAGCGCCCAGTGAACGCGGCCAGCAACTCGCGTCTACGCGTCCGTGTGTCTTTTCTTAATCGACACCGAATCGCATACCGCGTCTCGACACTCTTCGCCCTCGATCGCGCGTGCGTTCGCGTCGCGAGACGACATCGATCTGATCGATCCGAGTGCGCGCGCGAATTCTTCCAACACGCACGCGTTTGCTAAATTTGCTCCGACTGTCGAAGACTCGAAAAGACCGGGGTGAAGTTTGCGACAGTTGGTGGCGCGCTGCCCTCGACGACGGTCAGTGGAATCACGGCCGCGGGAAGTGATATCGAGGAGTCATGCGGGCGTACGCGCGTTGCGCTCTCGCGCTCGTCGCGGCGATCGCGACGGCCGTCGTGTCGGAGCCGAGCGAGCTGGCCAGGTCGGAAGAGACGATCGTCCTCAAGTGCTGCCGGCACGACGAGGAGCTGCTGCTGCTGGACGGCGTCGAGCCGCCGCGCTGCGAGCCGACTCCGAACAAATGGAAGCCGTTGATTTATAACATAACGACGAACAACTGGCAGGAAGAGCTGCCCACCCACTGGCGCGTCGTCGACGGCCGACGGCCGGGGTGCGGCGACCAGTCGGAGCTGATCGTCTGGCCCAACCGGAAGGCCACCCCGGTCATCCTGATCGAGAACGGGAACGCGGTGCTCGAGCTCCGCAGCTCCAAAGAGGACTCGAAGTCCTTTCTCCCCAGCCAGTACTGCGCCGATTCCAACGCCCTGCTTGTGTGCATGCCGAAGAAATTGGCGGGCAATCACGCCGCCGCGACCATGAGGCCGCAAGTGCGACGCTGCTGCGGCGAAAACGCCAGCTTCCACGAACACGGGTAAGTTGCCTGACCGGCCGTAACTTTGCCGGTCGATCCGGGGGGACAGACGGGAAAATTAGGTTAGGTCGGGGACACCGTCAACCGGTCGCACCCGTAAAGATCCGAGTTTCTTACGACTGTTCTTTTGCTCCTAGCGCTTTCGAGAAAGAGTCACTCGGGAGTCACTTTTGTCACGATGTAGCGCGACAAGCTTCACAATTACAAACGTTAATAAGTGGATGGAAGTTTTACTGGTTCTATTTATTATTCTATTTCCAACCACTCTCTGTCTCTCTCTTTCTCTCGGAGCAGGAAAATTTGAAGAATGCAAATGTAGGTTTAACTCAAAAAGATTAGATATCAAATGAACGTTAATTAGCGGTTTTGATGTCGATCGAGATTCCTTTGCTTATTTCCAAAAGTTGCAAGAAATTGAAATCAACTCGAACGTTATTCTGGAGCTCAGAAGCTAAGAGAATTAACTAATGCAAATTGATCCCAATAAAATTCGACATAAAATGTCCCGACTGTAATTAAAACCGATATCCGAGAGCAAATTTATAAAATTCAATTTTTATTTGAAAAAGCATAAAGTCCAAGCTGAGATAATTAATGTGACGACTCACATAATCGATAAAACAAGTAGTTGAAATGTGACAAATAAATATGCGTACGAAGGTAAATAAAACCGATTCACGATAGAAAATTTGTAATATTGAATTTTTATTTGGAAGCGCATAAAGTCCAAGCTGAGATAATTAGTATATCGATTCAAAAATCGATAAAACGAGTAGTTGAAGTTGAAATGTGACAAATAAATATGTGCACGAGGGTAAATAAAACCGATTCACGATAGAAAATTTTTAATATTCAATTTTTATTTGGAAGCGCATAAAGTCCAAGCTCAGATAATTACTTTAATATATCGACTCAAAAGTCGAAAAGGCAAGTAATCGAAGTTGAAATGTGACAAACAAATATGTGTATGAAGGTAAATAAAATCGATTCACGATAGAACATTTATAATATTCAATTTTTATTTGGAAGCGCATAAAGTCCAAGCTGAGACAATTAGTATATCGACTAGAAAATCGATAGAACAAGTAATTGAAGTTGAAATGCGACAAAATAAATAAATGTATGTATATAGCTCGATATGCAGTATGTACGTGTTACTAACGGTATCTAAAATAGCTTCGTATCTAATGGTATCAATAGCTTTTTAGCCTCTTATCCGGACGTTGCGGAATAAATGTTCAAGCTGTCGATTTACCTCTCTGATGAAACAGTAACGGATTTCGTAAGACCTTAACTCACCCGTAGGTAGCTACTTGTTTATTTACCGAGCGTCGTTTGAGTGAAACGCGTTAGACTCGCACGTAGAGCGACCTTGACGTCTGCGGGACTCGTTTGGTTTTTATTCGAGAATGTTGATGCCGCGCGCGGCCGGCTAGGTTCTCCCTTGCGAATTCTATCTCGTGCGTACGCCAATAAAATCTGTTTAACCAATCGGCAATATCCCACTGTTTTTATAATAAAAATTAAATGGTGCATCGAGACACGTGGTTGATAATAAAATTTAAAATGTTTATTGCAATCTCTTTGGCTTAATTTAATGGTCACGTAAAATAACAGAAATACAAAGATGCACGAAAATTTGTCGCGAAGCCTCCCGTACTAGTGGTCTTAATTATTCGAAGCTTCGCAACTTCGAAGCTTCGAAGTATCCGAAGAAACGAAGAAACTTGGAATATCGAATTTTCCAAGTTTCGAAGTTTCGAATATTCGAAGTCAACTAATGCATATAAGCTTTCAAAGACCAACCTAATTTATCATCTGTATCTATCATCTGTATTAGGCAGTAAAAAGAAATAGTTAATAAGATAAAATGTTAATGATAGAAAATTTATTTCCTTCGAATTAATTGTATTTTTATGAGCGAATGGACAAGAATGTGTCCGACAAAAAGAACATTTGTTTTTTTATACTTGTAATGATATTAATTAGTTGGCATTTAATTAGTTCACAGTTATAGGAAAAACGATTAATTTTGCAAAATGTGTTATTGTTTTTTATCCTGTTAATACATTAGTTGACTTCGAATATTCGAAACTTCGAAGATTCGAAGCTTCGAAATTGAAAATCTTCGAAGAAAAATTTCAGCTCTATCCCGTACTACTTGTGACTCATTGCGGACGAAGATCTTTTGAGGTAAGACGCCATCGAACATGAAACTCGACACGATATTTCCGGGATGCATCGGCATTGATAACGGAATTTATCACTCAAACTTTTCCATATTTACTTAAAAGATTACACGGTCCGAGATGCGTCAAATACGTTGGTTATTAAATGTAATTCGTGAGATCTGCGGAGCGTTGGAGAAACACGTGAAGAAAGTGAGAAAAAGGTTCACGGCCGCCTCTACCGTTTCTCATTTTAACGAGCGACTGCGTAAGAGATACTTTTCTTTTGTGTCGACAGAAATACCTGCGTGTTGCTAGCGGAGACCGCGGACGCACCACCTCTGCTGCCGAAGGCGTCGTCCGTCGAGATCGTGGCCGGATTTCCCACCTGCCCGAAATCCGACAATTTCACCATCGTCGGCAACGCGGTAGACGGCGCGCTGCAGCCCGACGGCAGCCTCGAGATAAACGGGATCGTTTTACCTAGCGGCCAGTTCTGCGTCGAGAGGATTAAGGAACTCAACCAGGTCGCCAAGGTGTTCGCCTGCCCGGAACATACTCCGCAAAGGTCAGTGCGAGCGACGATTCAAGTCGTATCGTTTTTCTTGTCTCGCTGCACTCGTTTACAAAAGCCGATTAACGAGCGATGATGAAAAGAAATCCCCCCCCCCCCCTGCTTAAAGTAACGTTACGACGTCGCCTGGCAATCGCCGTGTTATCTGAAATAAAACTTACGGAAACGAAAGAGCGTTTAAGTAGATAAAAAATTGGGGGGATATTTGAAAAGTCTGTATCTTTATTCTTTATACATTTCGTTTCACGAGTTTGGAAAATACAGCTGACATTTGATTTCGTAACATGATTCTATGGTTCTTTTATCAAATTATTCGCGTTACTGCGTGCACATATACCGATCCTGCCTGAACGCGATTAGCCTATCATGATTTAATATAATATACTGTAGGAAACCGTTCGACGTGAGATATTGTTTTGATACTTTATTATTTGCCCGACTCATCGCTTTCCCTTGTTCCTCGTCTTTGAAAGCGATGTGACGGTCGCGTGATTTAATAATAATCGGGAGGTAACGGTGAAGACGACAAATATATACACCGTGTGTCGGTCGACGAAGACATTCGGACAAAGAGACTCAAGTAAAGCGAGTCGTTAAAGGCTCTTGTGTCGCGTAACATTAGCGTGTACATGAAATTGTTCGAGTGTCCTAATAAACGCTGATTATTATTTCGGGTGAGTTTTACTTGTGATCCAGCCTAAAATCCCGGGAAGACCCCTACAATACTATAAAATGCGCCGTAAATGAAAGAAACTGCCGAGGTAAGTTTTGGTTTTTTTTTGTTAAATCAGCAATAAATATGAATATCTTTCCGTAATACGCCGCGCTATTAATTCAATATATTCCGTAAGCGTGCCGATAATTCGATAGCAGGCGCACGCGTAAATCGCAGGAAGTTGAATATCGATCCCTCAATTATGCAAAGACGGTCCTCTGTTCTTCTTATTCGCTCGATCATCGTTCATTCGTCTCGCGTAATGAAGAATGAAGGCGACTCGCGGCCGGTTCCGGCGGTCAAGTCGTCCGACCCACTTTAAGGCACTCCGGGCACGATCCGACTTTTTGCCCCCGTCAAGTATCGCCTACTCCGATCTGAATTTATCGCACGACTTAATTGCGCGATGGGTAGCACGTTTAGGTGGTTGGGGGCGAGGGATAAAACGGCACTGCGCGCGCTTCTGCGGGCGCGTCTCGTTCTCGGGACGACGCGCCGAGGAAACGTTCCGGGCCGCCTCACTTTCATCGCTTCTCGCAAGGTATTTTCTAGGTCGCGTGTATCCGCGATCCCACGTCATCCGAGATTCCATTGAAACGTTCTCACAACTGGATACCCGCGTTTCCGCGCACCGAAGCGATGAACGGCGTAAACGCCTCCGGCCGTGGGCGTTGCGTAAGGAAGACGGCATTGTGTTACTCGCGGCAAGCTTTTTTTTTCTTCTCGTCCCGTTCTTTCGCGGAATTTTCATGTAATTGAAGCAATTCTGATCTCTCCTTCCTTGACGTATCTTTTGAAGACTTTTCTTTTAAAAAATAATCCCGCGATGGTCGAGTTCGCAGGTATACACGGAGAGAAATATGTAGATGCCGTAGCTAAAAACTGCACGTGGCAAATAAATTTCAGTTGTAAAACATGAACGGCTAATGTTTAGTTGTGACGGCTACAGATTTTGCTACTGTGCCTATTGCATTAGGTGCGACAGCAAACCGTTTGCGTTTTAGAAATTTATAGTTATGGCAGCAAAATATTTTTAGCGATCCACGACTAGTTAGGGCACACTCTAAAAATCAATCAGTGAGTTATCACTGAAAACAGTGAATAGTCACTGATTTACAGTTATAAGTATACCGCTGAAATTTTCAGTAGAATTTTTATAATTGCAAATCAGTGACTATTCACTGTTTTCAGTGATAATTCACTGATTGACTTTTAGAAAACACGGAAAGAAAAATGTAGCTGCCGTAGCTAAAAACTGAACGTGGCAATTTCACTTGTAAAACATGGGCAGCTAATATTTAGTAGTGATTGTTAAATAGTTTGCCTATTGTGTTAGGTGCGACAGCAAACCGTTTGCGTTTTAGAAATGTATAGTTATGGCAGCAAAATATTTTTAGCGAACCACGATTAGTTAGGGCACACTCTAAGAATCAATCAGTGAGTTATCGCTGAAAACAGTGAATAGTCACCGAGGGGGAAACCGCTGACCAAAATCTTGTACACCAATGCCCACTAATGCCCAGTGGGCATTACTTTATCTTATTATCTTCTTTTATCGTATTTATCTTGTTTTATCTTATTTTATCTTACTGTACCTTATTTTATCTTATTTTATCTTTATAATGCCCCAGCAAGACGTAATGCCCAAAAAATGTCCTGGTAATGCCCAGTAATGCCGCAAATATGTACACCACAATGCCCTCAGCGGTTTCCCCCTCGATAGTCACTGATTTACAGTTATAAGTATACCACTGTTACACTGAAAAATCTTTTCACCACTCTCTAAAAGTCAATCAGTGGATTATCACCGAGGGGGAAACCGCTGAGGGCATTGTGGTGTACAGATTTGCGGCATTACCGGGCATTACTAGGGCATTTTTGGGGCATTACGTCTTGCTGAGGCATTATAAAGATAAAATAAGATAAAATAAGATAAAATAAAATAAAACAAGATAAGTAAGATAAAAGAAGATAATAAGATAAAGTAATGCCCACTGGGCATTAATGGGCATTGGTGTACAAGATTTTGGTCAGCGGTTTCCCCCTCGATTATCACTGAAAACAGTGAATAGTCACTGATTTGCAGTTATAAGTGTATCACTGAAAATTGCAGTGGTATATCGCAGTGACTATTCAGTTTTCAGTGAATAATCCACTGATTGACTTTTAGAGAGTGGTGAATAGTTTTTTTCAGTGTAACTGAATAGTCACTGATTTACAGTTATACAGATAAGTATATCGCTGCAATTTTCAGTGATACACTTATAACTGTAAATCGGTGACTATTCAGTTTTCAACGATAATTCACTGATTGACTTTTCGAGAGTGGTGAAAAGTTCTCTTCGGTGTAACAATCCAATGCGCTAAACGTCAGGTAATTAACGGTATCTGTACGTCACGTAACGTAAGATGGGGTTAGAAGATCTCATTCGGCGAGACACGTGGCGTCCCGCTAAGACGAAGGACGAACCGTAATGGATTGACGGGCAGACATGCAGGACATCGCTGATAGTAAGATCCGAGAGTTTCCGTTCGGTACAGACGTAGTGTCACGTAATGTCGCGTGGTACACACACACACCCACACACACAGCCGAGGATCCCCGGCTACGTAGTTCGTGTCGCTGTACCGGGGATGATGTACCAATGAACCGTGTTTATCTCCCGGATTCGAAGTGTCGCCGAGCCGGTATTTAGCGAAAATTGCCGGGGGAATTTATGGCAAAAGTTTAATCGCCGTTAGGTGCGTAAAGTAACGTCGAAAATGCGATTAGCGCCCCGCATTTGCGCCCGACGCAGGACGCCCGATTTTGCAGAAAGTTACTCCGTTCGTATTCTATTTGCACGATTGTTTGTACGCGTGCATACGGGTCAACTGACGCGCAGCGTTTTGTTTCCCCGTGAAAAATTTACTCGCCAACTACTTCGGTGAACGGCAATCAATGGAACAAAACGTGGTCGGACGCGGTGGATTTTTTGTTTTCCCATCGTGAATGCTTCGCGAATAGAGTCGGTCGGTTATCGTGACTTTTCTCAAAATTGGATAAAATCAATCTCTGACGATACGTGCGTTGAATGCACGCGCGGAAACGCGATGTAAACGAGTGGGTTTTAAAACGGAGGTTATTATCTAATAGAGGAAAGCCCTCTATTATGAGATAGGATTCTAATACGAGATAGCAGGTTCTCAACGTTCCACATTCAATCGCATATCTTTTTTCGCAACGATTACACGATCTAACAATCAATTTTCCACGAAACTGAGATTTCACTCCAAGGGCAATAAATTCATGGTGGAACCAACAGATGACGCCTATTAATTCAGCAGAAACTCCGCTATCTAACATTAGAAGCCTTTCTCGTAACTTTCCTCTATTATTATATGACAAGTCCAGAAATAAAGCGCAATCTTTTTCAAAGAGCTTTATTTCAATAAATGGTCTTATACTGTTATCGCAAATATGTCTATTTTTTGCAATAGCTTTATTAGAGATTATTGAAATAACAATTATGACGCGCGTAGATTTTTATTCGACAAAAGTTTTCAGTAAGCACCGAGTTAAATCTCTCAAGATCTCGGAGGTACTTTCCCCACGCGACTTTCACTCGGCGCGTGTGTACGAGCGATCGATGCGAGCGTAAAGCCACCGTAAACGATCCTGAAAACGGAAATCCGTCCGTCCTGAATGCGGTCGCGTCGTGATGTCATTAGTCGCGATGAAAAATGGGCTCGCCCGGATCTTTCAGGAATCTTAATTAAAAACGGACGTAACGATCGCCGATAACGCGGTATTATTTCCGTTATAATCGATCGATCGATAGCTGGCTCACTGCCCGCAGCTGGCAGTAAGCCAATCGGTCAATTGCCGATGTGACGCCGATAAAACTGCCCGAATTTAATTAATCCGCCAGCGCGAGAAATAACGAGAAATAGCACCATAATTCGCCTTTTTCTTCCGTGACTTTTTGCCCATAGATAGTGGAAAATATCGATAGGGCCGACACCGGAATTTGCATGTTAAATGTATGCTAACCTTCCTTTCCGCCACTATAAAAAAAAATTTTTGAACCCGGAAAATAGAGAAAAGAGAAATTCACGGCGAAAATACGTACGTCATTGCGACGGTAAATTATTATTCGTTTCTTTTTATGCCTATGCTAATTAATTGTTATCGTACAACCGGTTAATAAATTGCAATTGGTTAGGTTTGAAATTTGCCGCTAATTGTTGCAAGTATAAATTATGTGTTTATTTCGAGCTTCCATTAATGTATGAACACATAATAAAACATAATATCATAGTAACTCAAATTAAATGATCCCGTAATACGTACGTCACATATTAATCCGCGATGTCTGATGTATACAATCGTACGATGCGCGTGATGGGGATCGAGTAAATATTTCAAATTTAAAGCAGACCGATAGAATTATCGCGAAACAGGACAATTTTTCTGTACTCTCTAAAAAGATCTGTGAATTATCACTGAAAGCAATGAGTAGTCACGGATTTACGGTTATAAGTACACTGTAAAAAAAATTGCATGTAAAATTGCAATTATTATAGTGGGTAATGTTGGGACCATCTAAAATAGTATATTTACATACGTCAGTAAATTCACTCCTTGCAAGTCAAATTATTATCTTATACAATAAGTAAACTGCTTGCTATTGATTGTGTAAATTTTACAATTTTTGGTAATTTTTCATCATGTGTAAACGAGTATTTACACAACAAAGAGTAAAAAATTTTTTTTGTAAAAGTACAAAGTACGTTTATATATTTTCGTTATTAATAGTGTAATCGCTACACTTATTACGTATGTAATTTTACATACTTTTTTTACAGAGTATGCCACTGCGGTTTTCAGTGGTAATCCACTGACTCTTGTAGCGAATTCGGCAGCTATGCAGCAGTGCACACTAAGTGCACACCAAGGCTTGGTCAGAGTCTACTCTTAGATTTATGGTCATCTCAAGTGCGTGTCCAAAAGCTATTTAGCCGCAAAGATGATCCATACGAATGCTATACAGATCATTTTACTGGCTAGGAAGTATTTTGAAAAGTATTTAAGACGATCCTTAAATATAGGAATTGGCTGTAAACAAGCCTTAGTGTGCACTCGTGTCAGTGCGCACTGATGCAAGCTGCCGAATTCGCTATTAGAGAGTATTTCGCCAATTACACGGTCGGCTCATTAAATTTCATAATCTCCAGGTGGAACCTTTAGATTTGTGTTCTTTTTACGTCAGGCAGATTTAAGTAAAGACCGGTCCAAAGTAGCGTCCTAATCTGCTCAAACTTTTTCAGACCCGCGGTGAAAGCGACAGACATCAGATTCACCTTGTATCCCGTGGGCTTCATCATTAGCGCCGTCTTCCTGGCCGCCACCCTGGCGGCCGGCTGGCTACTACCGGCCTCTCATCACGTTCTGCACTGGCGTTGCCAGACTCATCATGTCGCCTGCCTGATGATGGGCGATATTCTCATGGCCATCATTCAGCTCGCCGGGGATTGCCTCCACGGTACAAGCTGCAAGGCGCTCGGTGAGTCTTCATTATTGCCTTGTTAATTTTTTCACCGCTGCTTCTTGCCTCACGAAAGGGCTCGCGGAAAGCGATATATTTACGGTAATTTCACGGTCTCGATGGCCGCGGGTACGGCAAAATGATGAATATAGTGGCGAGCCTTTCGCGTTATCTCCCTTCGATATTCAAATGTATATCGAGGGCGCAAATTTATTCTTTATACCTTTTCGTGCAGCACTTTCGGATAAAAGAATGCGCGAAACTAATATTTAAGACCTTTTACGCAATTTTGCGAATTTTACTGTTACGTTCTTTGAACGTACTTTATTGTTGCCACCCGTCGCGTTATCGAAAATGTCTCGCGTTGTAACAAACGAGTGTACTAACCGTGTCTTTAACGTGGAAATCCGAACTTATCGACATTATTAAAACGCACACATACAAGTCCTGTGTCCTCGTGTGCCATTTCATTTTCATCCGGCCACTATTCGCGATCTTCCAGAAGATAATGCGGGCATCCGGAACATTGCTGGAATCGTCCACAGTGAACTATATCTAATGGCCGCGTAAACGGGGAAAAAAATGAACAATTCGCTATTTATCGGAGCGTGGCGATCAGCCAATTCGCTTCTTTTATTAACGTCCATCGGTATGAATCGGAAGCGACGCGACTCGGATTAAACGAAATTGAAAACTAACCGGATCTTCGCGTTGAATGAGCGTTGACATATCAAAAAGTAACGAGAGGGATAATGATTTCGCGAAATTGAAAATCTGAGTGTAAAAAGCAACTTGTTTCTCCCCCCCCCCCCTGACAACTTAACGCTGTATCGTTCGTTGTGTCGCTGAATTTTATTCGCCATTTGATTACATGCTTCGATTGATATTAGTTGACAGCTAGTTGAAACTCTATCGAGTTTCCGACTTACGAGGGAACGCGATGTTGATTATCCGCACAAATGTCAGCCGGTGCAGCCGAACGCGCAGATGGAATACGAATTTAGCCGACGATCGAGGCTGGCTTTATTTGCCGCCCCGTCCCCGAAGCTCAGGGGGTAATTATTCGGATAATCGTAGTAATCCCTCTCGCAAAGCTCCGCTTCTCTCGTCTCGTTCCAATCGCGAGAATCGATTAGTGCGTACACCCGTGCGAGTCCGGCTTCTCCGCGTTGTAATGGCGCGCAGCGGCTCTCATTTGCATGAAGAATCGATTACGCAGATTCCACCGGGGCACCGGGATGTTTTTCCTATCGTGATCTGCGTTTAACCATTCGTTCTTACAAATTGGCACGGCCGACCGTGTAACCGTAGACCGGAGATCATTGTCGCGCGTGTTTCTCATCCGCGTCTTTTCAAATACATTGGAAAAATTCAAATCTCTTTAAGGGAAGCATGTAATCCGCGAGAACTCTAAACTCTTTAGAAAACAAGATGTCGTTTAATGTTGGATAAATTGAAATTTGACGTACAGAGTGTAGATATCACTTCTGTATAGAAAGAGAATTCCCTTAAGAAAAAGCACTTAGGCCCTTAAGGTTGGTAACCTTAGTTTCATCAAACGTCGCTTAACTTTAATCTTAGTTTAATTCATGTTTCTTTCTAGAGTAACAGTTAGAAAAAGACAAAGAACGAATTGAGCTAAGCTTAAAGTTAAGCGACGTTGATGAAGCCGGGCCTTGGTTGCATCAATAGCTGATGACGTTCTATCGGTAACTAATAAAGCGCCACAAGTTACCGATACAATGTCATCAGTTACTGATTGGTTTTCTTTTCTTAAGGGACGCCAGCATCCTTTTATATAGTTTTCGAGTGAGGAATTACTCTCGTCGCGCGTATATTTTGTGGTATCTTGCAATAAGCAATCTACCATGATCGAACAAGCGCTTTTACAATTTCCATTGAAATAATAACCGCAACCGAAACCGGTTACGAGGTCGTGGACCTTCCGTCTGCGAAAACCGAAGAAAGGAGAAAGTGGAACGGAACGTAGCGGCGAGTGTTGCTGACCCACAATCTCTCTCTCTCGTCGATATTCTCGGTTTTTCTCTTTTTCTCGACTCAAAGAGAGTGTTACTTCGCGTACCGTGAGTGCTCTTCTGACGAGAGATTATTTGCTGACATATTTAATCGTATCAGCTACGATTTCCAACTTTCCCTCACGGATTCCTACAATATCTTTCGAAATCCGACACCTCGCGTGCAACGATCCGATAATTTGACAACGTAGAAACGCCCGCGTTACCCGAGAAATAGAATAACGGGTGAAATTAAATATTAACTCTATGATACTCGCATAGAGTCTAATGTGCACTCCTGCCTGAAAAATCTATTGAATTCGTGGAGTAAAACGATTCTATCAATCGAATGCCGCACAAATTGTTTCGTAGAACTTTCGCACTTATTTTTATATCTGGAAGATACATAAAGTATTATAAATCTTTATTTAGTTGTACATCTAAACGAACGATGGAAACTGAAATATAATGTTGAGGCGTAAGGTCAGTAGCGTACGGTGATTATTTGAGAAATCGTAGAGATGGATTTATACACGGAGAGAATTTTCTTTTAAAATTTATGTAATCGTGGGACAGCGTGGCATTTCGAAGACTTTTATTCGAGTGTATTGAAATTTTACCGTACATTTTACTAGTACACCCTCAGAAAGGATTTCTGTTACCGAGACAAAAATATTCTCGACGCATTTATGTTTCTCACAACCGCATTTAGCATAAAAATAAGACAATGTCAAAATTAAGTCGATAATTCTTATTCTCCTCTATTAAATTAAAAAAGATTTACTTACTATATTGAGACAAGAGCAACTTATGTAAATGTAAGTTTATATATTCTTGCGTCTAGAATCAATTTTCCCTCCACTTTACAACGCACGAAGTTGGCACCACGATATTCGACAAAAAACGATACATACTATCAGTTTATTTTAGATTTTAGAATTTTTCGTTTAAGATCAAAATATTCCTTTCTCTATAATAAATACGATTGGCGCTTTGTCGATCCTATTTTATGATACATTGAAGTGTACACTGAGAAAAATGTCCGATTAAATATAATCGGATGATCCAATTACATAATAACAAACGGATATATCCGATTAAATTGCGTATCCGATGAAACATTTGATCGGTTTTTCAATCAAATTTCATCGGTAACTGCATTTCATCGGATAAATCTCATAGAATGTACCCATAATTTAATCGAAAAACGTAATCGGAAAAATTAACCACCGGACACACTAATTGGTTTATCCGATGAAAATTTTTCTCAGTGTAATAGCATTGAATCCGGAAATTTTTTTCTGTAGGTGTAATTATACGTACACGGAAAAAATTTTCTGGTTGAATATGGACGAATCAGATAATTCCTTTAGGATTTACCAGAATTCCTTTAGGATTTACCAGAATTCCTGTAATCCTACAGAAATTCTGGTAAATCCTAAAGGAATTCTGGTAAATCCTAAAGGAATTATCTGATTCGTCCATATTCAACCAGAAATTTTTTTTCCTGTAATCCTACAGAAATTCTGGTAAATCCTAAAGGAATTCTGGTAAATCCTAAAGGAATTATCTGATTCGTCCATATTCAACCAGAAATTTTTTTCAGTGTACAATTAGTACACATTGTACTGGTAAAATGTATGGTAAAATTTCAAAAAACTCTCTTCGACATGCCACGTTGTCCCACAATTACATGACTTTCGGGATAAATTGTGAGAGAAAATTCTCTCCTTGTATCGAGTCATCGCCACCGAGATTCTGATCGATGATTCGTCAGTCGGATTATCCGCTGTAGGAAATGAAACCGTTATTACCACATCGGAATCGATCGAATCAGCAAGATAGCGGTATTCTTTTTTGTTGTTACGTTGCGAGATCTCGCGGGAAATCGGTATCCTTAGTCCTTGCGTGCCAGCGCATTTCTAATTCGCAGACGCACGCATTGCGTATCCCATTACGCGGCGACGCGGACGTAGCGGATGTATCGCGATACGCGAAGTCACGTCGCGTATAAAAGGCAGGAATTCCAGCGCGGCGACGATAACGGTAAGCTGGATTCTTTTTATTGCGAAACAGCCCGCGTTCCCCCTTCCCCTCCCTCCTGCCCCGCGAGCTTATTGTCTCGCGGAAAACGCGCGAGAAACCGCTCGCCGATCCGTTCGCTCCGGCGCGCGGCCGCGGACGCGCGGCGTCGAGCGGAAATCATCGAAACGCGGAATGCGCCGCGCGATGCAATTTTGAAGCATGCCGAATTCCGCGGCGAGTTCACGATGAACGGGGGCGTTCACGCTTGCAGCGCTCGCCGCGATGCGAATATGCGATAAATGCAAAATGTTTCGCGCGTTCAGTTGCACATACCTCTTCCCGTTCTTTTTTCCCTCCCTCCTCCTCCTCCCCCCCCCCTCCGTGTTTTTTATCCGTGTAGCGCCGAAACAATCTGATACTATTTCAATATACTATTTCGGTATACTATTTCAATAATTCAGAGTATCGAATTTTCATGTACGAGGGTCGCTCCGAAATTTCGCGCATGCTCTCGTATAAATTATGCTTGACAGTACGAATAACCGAATATTATTCGGAGGACAGTGCATTAAATATAACGTAAGAATTTAATTGTAGCGGCTAGCGCGTTGTGAATTATGAGGAAGCGATAAAAAATTTTATCTTGCCATAAAACGATGCAAACGTTTTACGGCATCGACTGATCTTGGCGCCCCGTCGCAGAAATAAATACAGAATATACTATATTCCGCTCGCCGCACGGCGCGACATTCGTACTTTCTGCCTATACGCCAGCGTTAATAATTTAGTACAATTACAAGACTTAATTTCAATGCATCTTTAAACCGTATTTGATATTACAGAGCACTCCTCTCTCTCTCTCTCGCGTATTTTGACTTAAAATTTTCATTTATATTGAAAGTTCTCGCGTAACATTCACGATTCAGCTGTTATAACACTTCTCGCTCCGTTCGCATGGACATTTAACGCGTAAGTCCA